CCGAGAGCTTTACTGAAATTAAATCACCACAGCCACAAGAGGCGGGTATTGCTATGATTCCCATTTTAGAGATGGCAAAACTGAGGACACAAAATGAAATAATTTGCCAGAATTTACACGCCAGGTGAGTGGCGAAGCTGGTATTCACACAGCAGCAGTCTGGTTCCTGATCCCAACCCCGGCCTCCAAAGGGAGGGTGTCCCAGAGATGGACAAGGGAACCCACACATGTGTGGGTGGGAAATGGGAATCTGGTTGCTTGCTTAAAGTCCAGCCCGGAAGAAGACAAGAGGGAAGCTGATCAGCACGGACATGTGTAGACAGTGGTAAGTCACGGAGACTGACACTGAGGCGCCATCAGAGCACTGCTTTGGGGAGAGGCAGTCACGACTAAGGAATGTGGACACTCTGGATTCCATAGTGCCTGGCATCTGAACATGTCCCCAGTGCCCAGACCATCTATTATAAGAGATAGAGCACCTGCTTCTGGGATGGAAGCTGAAAAGTTGGTCTATTTATTTGTTCCCTTCCCCACTGGCTGTGGCCACCTCTGGGCACCAGAGGCAGCGGTGGTGGGATGGGTGTCAGTGGTGATGCTCAGTATCCAGCAGTCATGACAATGGCAGTCCAGGGACCAATGGTGGCAGAGGGGATGGTTCGTGGAAGGAATTCACACTGCCAAAAGTACACAGCTGAAACTGAATACGGAACATTCCCCACATTCAACGTCCTCATGCAACTCCACCATCTTGGTTGACCATCCTCTCTCCCTCCTCCTCTCCCCTCAGGAGTCTACCTCCAATCCTCCCCTTCTAGTTCTCTATGTTTGCCCCCTGTTGCCCCCTGAATGACCTCTCTTCATTTCCAATTAGCTCATCCAACATATTTCACTTAGAAGAATTCTTCCTTAGAAGAATTCTCCTGTGATTTGGGTGGGGTGGGGGAAAGGGGAAAACTAGCATTCTTGTTTCTCATCCCACCAGTCCTTAATTGTACAGAAACCTGGTGTTAATAAACATAAAAGTAACAGTTTTCAGATGTTCCTCCTGTTCCCCACTCCATGGAACTCCTTTTTCAAACAAGAGTGGATTCAGAACCCCAAGATGTGAAACACACACACCTTTAAAACACGAGGCAAAATTCATGTCACACAAAATTAACCATTTTAGAGCGAACAGTGCGGTTGTATTTACTACATCCGCAATGCTGGGCAACCACTACTATTTAAAGATTTACTTATTTTAGAGAGAGAGCACTACTTCTATCCAGTTCCAGAAATATTTTCATCACACTGAAATAAAACCCTGAACCCATCAAGAAGTTACTCACCCCGCCGCCAGCCCTTGTAAACCATCAGCCTGGTTTCTGTCCCTCTGGATTTGCCTCTTCTGGACATTTCCTATCTGTGAAATCGCACAACATGTGACCTTTTGTGTCTGACTTTTTTCACTCAGTAAGTCTTTGAGGCTCATCTGGGTTGGTTACAGGAATCAGAACTTCACTCCTTTTTATGGCTGATTAATATTCCCAGGTATGAATGTGCCACAGTTGGGTTACCCATCCATTTGTTGAATCCTACACACTTCTGCTCTGTCGGAATCACAAGTGGGGGCCGCGAGATCCCCCCACCCCCACATCCAACACTCTCCTCCAAGAAGCTCCCGCACTCCTCTGAGCTTGGTCTCCAGGAGCCTTGGGGGCAAAGCCGACTTGTTTCCCTGGAGAGGTCACACCCTGTGGCAGGGATCGGGGCTTCTGCAGAGAGAGGGACTCTGCCTCCAAAAAACAAAACCGAAACCGGCTGCATCCATGCAGAAGAGTGGCTGACCCGTGGAAATGGGAGGAATCCTGGGAGGTGGGAGGCTGCCGGGCTCCAGGGGCTCCCAGCGGCTGCCCATGGGTCCCACCCAAGGGCCCCGAGGCCTCCTCCACCCCCTTGGGCAGGTATGCCTCTGTGGGCCCCGCCAAGCCTGTGGCTTTTTATGACTTCACTTGTTGAAACCGAAGCCACGCCTCGGTGAGTACATTCTCCGCACAGCACACCATCCAGAGGGGCCGGACTGCCGGCGTCCTCCTAATTGCACAAGTTTTCTCTGTCTTGCCCCTTTATTTAGGGGGGATTTCCCAAGTGCCACCAGGAGGCCCTTGGTGCATTTTGCTCCTTTTCCGGACGGAAGGTCTGTCCCTGCTCTGCTGCGGAAAGGGGTGAGCAGACGACCCAGGGAGGGAACACCCGGCTTGCAGCGCAGGACCAGGCTGAGCGCTTTGGTAGAGCCAGGTCACGAGGCCAGGTTTAGTCGGGATAAGCCCTCTCTGAAAGGAGCCCTGCTCCTGTAATAACGGGGAAAATCCTCTGCGTGAAGGGCCCGCGCCACCCTGGGCTCAGACATGCTGATTCCACGACTGGGCGATCCCAGCAGCTGCGCACGGCCCCACAGCCCAGGTAGGAGGCGCAGCTGGCTCGTGTCAGTGTCAAGGGCGGAGACAGTTTGTTTGCCCAACTGGATGACGTGGGTCAGCGCCTCCAAGGAGGCCTCACCTGCCTCTGAATGGGAGAGAAAGTTCAGTGGCTGGAAAGCAGACCTCCCGAGGGCCCGCAGCCTCCAAAGCCCCAGACGTTCCCGAATGTAAGTAGACGGCAGAGCTGCACCCGCCTGCCTTCCTGGTCTTGGGGGAGCCCGAGGGGCTGGCGGTGCTGTCGCTTGGGAGGAGGGTTCCCCAAACGGCCACGTCTTCTCACCGTGGTTTTGAAATTTACACGGAGCCAGAAGTAGGTTTATTTATTTATTTTTTAAAGATGTATTTATTTTAGAGAGAGAGCGCGAGCCCAAGCAGGAGCGGCAGAGGGAGACGGAAAGAGAAAATCTCAAGCAGACTCCCTGCTGACCGCAGAGCCCAACACGGGGGCTCCATCTCCCCACCCCAGAGGTCATGACCTCAGCCGAAATCAAGAGTCCGAGGCTCAACTGACTGGGTCACGCAGGCTCCCTGAGCCAGAAACAGTTTTGTCATCGTGGTTAGTCTATTTTCCTATATCAAAAGCTAGTTCAAATGCTCTGATTTTTTTTATAAAGATTTTTATTTATTTAATTGACAGAGAGCGAGAGAGGGAACACAGCAGGGGGAGTGGGAGAGGGAGAAGCAGGCCTCCTGCCCAGCAGGGAACACGATACCGGGCTAGATCCCAGGACCCTGGGATCACGACCTGAGCCAAAGGCAGTTGCTTCACGACGAAGCCACCTAGCCACCCCAAGTACTCTGATTTTTAATATAATTATTTAATTTAATCTGGTGAATGAGTGGCAAAAATTAATATTACATTGAACTGAGTGGTTTAGTGGGTTAAGCGGCTGCCTTCAGCTCAGGTCATCATCCCAGGTGGAGCCCTGCAAGGCGGCATGGGGGGTGTGTCCTTGCTCAGCCGGGAGTCTGCTTCTCCCTCTGCCGGCCGCTCTCCCTGCTTGTGCTCTCTCTCTCTGATAAATACATACATACATACATACATACATACATACAATATTACATTGAACTGTATGAAATCCCAACTGTGTGTAGGTTAAACTGGTGGGCAAGGGGAAGTGACAGTCCTTGATACGGGAGTAATGATTAACACTCATCATTGTTTGCTAATGAGGCATCATTTTCCAAATGAACCTCAGAAAAAACCCTGAAGTGATTAATTTTAACTACATGAAGATTTTTATGTTCTGTTAGCGAGCATATGACTTTTTTTGTCCATCTTATGAACAGTAATGGCAAGAAAAGTTTAAGGAGTTGTATCCTTTTGACCCAAAGGTTTGGAACGAGAGAATCAGTCATTCACTACAGTGATGTCACTTCGATTTTCTCAGTTTGAGGGCATTTTGGTGCTCCTGAAAATGCTCACATTTTCTTTTCCAGTGTCCGTTCAGTACGCGTAGCACACAGTAGCTACTCAGTCCGTGCTGGCTGAATGCATAAGCAATCAATGGACACATTTTATTAGAAGTGCGTCAATCACTGCAGTTTTCTGGGCAAATATTGTGGTAGAGGAAACCTTGACTTAGAAGGCAGGAGATGGAGTCCGTTTTCCTGCTTTGCCTTCCCCACACTGGGTCTTTGGCAAGCCCTCTTTCCTTCTCTGGTTTCAGTTCCCCCCCTGGATCAGACTGGTAATCTCTAAGGCTCCAGCTCTAAAAGTCGATAATTTTACAAGTTTTCTGTAACTTAGTTTCTCCGGTGCCGCAAAAGCACGGGTAAGAGTCCCCGTCCTGCTGGTGTTAGGGGGTCTTGTGGAACTCTGTGAGCTGTGTGGACGCCTCCTCACGACACGGTGATCAGACATCAGTGTCGCTAAGTAAGCCCGTTGGAATGGGGTCTAGTGGTCTGGGCCGCCTGCCGCTCTACCTGATGATTGATTCCTTGTCTGGCCCCGGCTATCCATTTTCCTCCCCAAGAAAACCATTCTGCCTTCGTAGAAATATGTGCAGAAGCGAAACTGATTTGATGAAACAAGTGCTTAGAGTAAAAAAATACAAAAACCATATGTTACTGAAGGGAAGTGGGTTTCGTGCCTCCTGTTGCGGGACACCAGGCTCTGTGGTCACTTGTCGGGGGAGGTGCCACACCCGGCATTTCCAGCATGAGCACCACTGGGAACAGAGAGCACCCCGAGAACGCCACCCCTGGAGCTCTCTTTGGCACCTGCGTCCCTTCTGTCACTCCATTACTGGATACACCTCTGTGTGTGCATTGGTGTTCACACACACTCAGGAACAAACTCGTTTTTCAGAAGCGGCTGCCAACCCCGGGCTGGGGAGTAAACACAGCAGCCCGTCCTGGGAAAGAAGTCTGGGAGGCATATAGCAGAAGAAAACAGTTCAAGGGTGATTTTTCCATGATGTGACCGCAGAGATCCATTTTTCCCATCATCTGGCTTTTGAGTTTGGGGAGACATGCCGCAGAAAAAGCCTCAGATCTCCTTCAATTTTACAGATGTGTATACCTTTTTATTTCTTCTAGTGGCTTCTGGTAAAATCCTGAGGGACGCTGGCACCCTGAATCGCCATGGGCAACGAGACTAGCACCTCGGGAAGCCAGGTGGGTGTCAGGGTCTCCCCCCCACCCCAACCTACGAGGGTCCCTTGACTGACCTTGACTAGATTTTTTTTTTTTCAGCATCTCCTCTCCACCCAGGAAGGAGCAAGCTATAACACAGATTATGCATAGATACATATGGACACATATGTATTTCCAGAAGCATTTACCAGTTGCATTTTCAGAATTCTTGTATCAAGGCTAGCCCTGATTTTATAAACCATATTTTAAAAAAAAACTAGTTTATTTTTTTTAAGATTTTATTTATTTATTTGATAGACAGAGATCACAAGTAGGCAGAGAGGTAGGCAGAGAGAGAGAGGGGGAATCAGGCTCCCCGCTGAGTGGAGAGCCGGATGCGGAACTCCATCCCAGGACCCTGAGACCATGACCTGAGCCGAAGGTAGAGGCTTTAACCCACTGAGAGACCCAGCCCCCCCCCCCAAAAAAACCTAGTTTAACTGTTTATTCCGTGCTTTTAAAACTGACATAGTAAGAATTTGGCATATTTTCCCCAGATTGTGTCCCCCCAATCCATTTACTTCTGTGGATACAATGGAGGAGGCTGAAATAAAAACTTATCCACACTTCGCCCCAAAATAAAGTAATGGCCCTTAAGGAGTGATCTTCAAATCTGTCAATGTTGAGCAGATTAAATGTGAATTATCATTTCCATGTTAGGGAAGGTTTTCACAACTGAGGGATGAGCCTTAACTGCTTGATGGCAGATACAGCTGGGATTCTTAACATATATTCAAATTTTATAGCAATTCTGCATTTTCAGTTTGAGAGACTTAATTCAATGCCCTGGTGAACAAAATCAGGGGGACGCTTTCCTGTTTATCTCACACACCGTGGAAATTTCGGATTAATGGTATTGAGTTTTCTGAAGGAGATAATTGGATCTGAAAGCCAGCATAAAGCAATCTGCTTTCCCTCTGCTGCTTCTTCCCTATGATATTCTTTTCTCAAGGAGGAACAGGAATCATCAAGACAAAATGTGGCAAATTCCCGTACCAGAAAAGTAATTGTGGTCAATGGCAGGATGTGAGACAATAGGGAGAAGGAAGGACTGTGGCAAACAGGAGGGATCCTGTCCTATCGTCTGATAGAGGCCCCACCATCAGCTCCAACTGATGGCTGCCAGGTGGGAGTGCAGGCCCAGTGTTATAAGACCTTCCTATCTCTTCAAGAGAAGTCAAAAGGCCACATTTTTCTATGAAATCCTATAGTTAAATGTGTTTATGTTGAGACAATGGTAGATGAGCAGACTGTTGCAAGACCCAATACAGAGAGGTCCCTGATCCCTTTACCTAGTTTCCCCCCGGGGGTAGCATCTTTCGAACCACAGTGCACACTCATATCCATGTTGAGACAGTCAAGATATAGAACGATATCCAGCACCTGAAGGATCCCTGTCCATTTCCTTAGGGCCACGCCCACCACCTCCTGTTGCCCACTCCCAACCCCTGGCGCCTCCTTGTTTGTCCTCTATGTCTGTAATTTTGGCTTCCTGAGAATGTTCTGTAGATGGAGTCACATGGAGTGGGACCTTTTGGAATTGGCTTTTTTCACTCGGCTTAATTTCCTGGAAATTCATTGAGGTCGTTACACGTTTCAGTAGTTCACTCCTTCTACTTGCTGAGTCGTGCTCCACGATCTAGAAACACCTGCGTTGTTCCCAGCTCGGGGAGAATACCAACAAAGCCCTTGTGAACATTTCTATACGGGTTTTTGTGTGCGTGTGAACATGTTTCGTTCCTTTGACGCAAATGCCCAAAAGCACAATTGCTGGGTCGTGGTTAGTCGTGTGTTGTATAAGGAACCGCTGAACTGTCAGGTAGAACCTCTGTACCGTTTTTCATTCCCACCAACAATGAGCCATGAATGAGTGATTCCCGTTTTGCCACATGCTGGCCATCGTTGGTGTTGTCCCTGTTTGCGGAGGCCATGCTGATACGTGTGTTGTGATGTGTCGCTCTGGGTTTCATTTGCATTTCCCTGACACCTGGTGTGGCTGATCTTTCTTTTTTTTTTTTAATTTTTTTATAAATATACAATGTATTTTTATCCCCAGGGGTACAGATCTGTGAATTGCCAGGTTTACACACTTCACAGCACTCACCCCAGCACATACCCTCCCCAATGTCCATAACCCCACCCCCCTCTCCCAAACCCCCTCCCCGCAGCAACCCTCAGTTTGTTTTGTGAGATTAAGAGTCACTTATGGTTTGTCTCCCTCCCAATCCCATCTTGTTTCATTCATTCTTCTCCTACCCCCTTAACCCCCCATGTTGCATCTCTACTTCCTCATATCAGGGAGATCATATGATAGTTGTCTTTCTCCGATTGACTTATTTCGCTAAGCATGATACCCTCTAGTTCCATTCACGTCGTCGCAAATGGCAAGATTTCATTTCTTTTGATGGCTGCATAGTATTCCATTGTGTGTATATACCACATCTTCTTTATCCATTCATCTGTTGATGGACATCTAGGTTCTTTCCACAGTTTGGCTATTGTAGACATTGCTCCTATAAACATTTGGGTGCATGTGCCCCTTCGGATCACTACGTTTGTATCTTTAGGGTAAATACCCAGTAGTGCAATTGCTGCGTCATAGGGTAGTTCTATTTTCAACATTTTGAGGAACCTCCAAGCTGTTTTCCAGAGTGGTTGCACCAGCTTGCGTTCCCACCAACAGTGTAGGAAGCTTCCCCTTTCTCCGCATCCTCACCAGCATCTGTCATTTCCTGACTTGTTCATTTTAGCCATTCTGACTGGCGTGAGGTGGTATCTCATTGTGGTTTTGATTTGTATTTCCCTGGTGCCGAGTGATATGGAGCACTTTTTCATGTGTCTGTTGGCCATCTGGATGTCTTCTTTGCAGAAATGTCTGTTCATGTCTTCTGCCCATTTCTTGATTGGATTATTTGTTCTTTGGGTGTTGGGTTTGCTAAGTTCTTTATAGATTTTGGACACTAGCCCTTTATCTGATATGTCGTTTGCAAATATCTTCTCCCATTCTGTCAGTTGTCTTTTGGTTTTGTTAACTGTTTCCTTTGCTGTGCAAAAGTTTTTGATCTTGATGAAATCCCAATAGTTCATTTTTGTCCTTGCTTCCCTTGCCTTTGGCGATGTTCCTAGGAAGATGTTGCTGCGGCTGAGGTCGAAGAGGTTGCTGCCTGTGTTCTCCTCAAGGATTTTGATGGATTCCTTTCTCACATTGAGGTCCTTTATCCATTTTGAATCTATTTTCATGTGTGGTATAAGGAAATGGTCCAATTTCATTTTTCTGCATGTGGCTGTCCAATTTTCCCAACACCATTTATTGAAGAGGCTGTCTTTTTTCCATTGGACATTCTTTCCTGCTTTGTCAAAGATTAGTTGACCATAGAGTTGAGGGTCTATTTCTGGGCTCTCTATTCTGTTCCATTGATCTATTTGTCTGTTTTTGTGTCAGTACCATGCTGTCTTGATTATGACAGCTTTGTAATAGAGCTTGAAGTCCGGAATTGTGATGCCACCAACTTTGGCTTTCTTTTTCAATATTCCTTTGGCTATTCGAGGTCTTTTCTGGTTCCATTTAAATTTTAGGGTTATTTGTTCCATTTCTTTGAAAAAAATGGATGGTATTTTGATAGGAATTGCATTAAATATGTAGATTGCTTTAGGTAGCATAGACATTTTCACAATATTTGTTCTTCCAATCCAGGAACATGGAACATTTTTCTATTTCTTTGTGTCTTCCTCAATTTCTTTCATGAGTACTTTATAGTTTTCTGAGTATAGATTCTTAGCCTCTTTCAGTAGGTTTATTCCTAGGTATCTTATAGTTTTGGGTGCAATCGTAAATGGGATTGACTCCTTAATTTCTTTTTCTTCTGTCTTGTTGTTGGTGTAGAGAAATGCAACTGATTTCTGTGCATTGATTTTATATCCTGACACTTTACTGAATTCCTGTATAAGTTCTAGCAGTATTGGAGTGGAGTCTTTTGGGTTTTCCACATATAGTATCATATCATCTATGAAGAGTGATAGTTTGACTTCTTCTTTGCCGATTTGGATGCCTTTAATTTCCTTTTGTTGTCTGATTGCTGAGGCTAGGACTTCTAGCCTAGTACTATGTTGAATAGCAGTGGTGATAATGGACATCCCTGCAGTGTTCCTGACCTTAGTGGAAAAGCTTTCAGTTTTTCTCCATTGAGAATGATATTTGTGGTGGGTTTTTCATAGATGGCTTTGATGATATTGAGGTATGTGCTCTCTATCTCTACACTTTGTAGAGTTTTGATCAGGAAGGGATGCTGTACTTTGTCAAATGCTTTTTCAGCATCTATTGAGAGTATCATGTGGTTCTTGTTCTTTCTTTTATTAAAGTGTTGTATCACATTAATTGATTTGCGGATGTTGAACCAACCTTGCAGCCCTGGAATAAATCCCACTTGGTCATGGTGAATAATCCTTTTAATGTACTGTTGAATCCTATTGGCTAGTATTTTGGTGAGAATTTTCGCATCTGTGTTCATCAAGGATATTGGTCTGTAGTTCTCTTTTTTGATGGGATCCTTGTCTGGTTTTGGGATCAAGGTGATGCTGGCCTCATAAAATGAGTTTGGAAGTTTTCCTTCCATTTCTAGTTTTTGGAACAGTTTCAAGAGAATAGGAATTAGTTCTTCTTTAAATGTTTGGTCGAATTTCCCTGGGAAGCCGTCTGGCCCTGGGCTTTTGTTTGTTTGGAGATTTTTGATGACTGTTTCAATCTCCTTACTGGTTATGGGTCTGTTCAGGTTTTCTATTTCTTCCTGGTTCAGTTGTGGTAGTTTATATGTCTCTAGGAATGCATCCATTTCTTCCAGATTGTCAAATTTGTTGGCGTAGAGTTGCTCATAGTATGTTCTTATAATTGTCTATATTTCTTTGGTGTTAGTTGTGATCTCTCCTCTTTCATTCATGATTTTATTTATTTGGGTCCTTTCTCTTTTCTTTTTGATAAGTCTGGC